CTCGGGAAGTCCCAATCCCGGCTCACTCCCACCCACTCCAGCGCGGGAAAGAGCGGGCGCGGAAAGTGGGGGGGAGACTGCCCGGAGCCGCCCGGCCCGGCCGGGCCTGGAACCCAGGTTCGAGCCCTCTGTGAAGAAGAGATTGTGGGGGCCCTGCATCCCGGGGATCCCACGCTAGGGGTTTGGGGGCGTCCACAGCCATCAGCGCCTGTCCCAGGTCCCAGCGGCTCTCCAGACCTCCCTCGGGTGGAGTGGAGGCCAGGGTCGCCTTACTGCCTTCCGGGAGGCACTGAGGTCTCCCTTCTACGAGGGCGCCCCTCACTCAGCGACGATATCTAGGCTGCTGCCTTCGCAGGGGGGCGCGTCAGCCCCCGCCCTTTCTCTCTCCCCGCCCCTCCCCCCATTTCGCCCACTCCTCGCGGAGACGCCACTCCAAGGCCACAGCCTGGACGTCTCCCAAGGCCTTGTTGGTGCCACCTTCTCGGGCCCCACCTGCCTGTCCCGGGGGGGTGGACGCCCTGGCCAGCAGATGTTCACACCTCCCTGGGTGCAGCACCGCCCCCAGCTCGTAGTTCCCTGCCCCGGCCCTGCCTGCCTCCAGCGAGGGTCCTCACTGCCCACCCTCGGGCCAGCTGTAGCGGGGGCCCACCCCAGGCCCCTTCTTCTCCCTCCCCTGGCCCCTCCACCATTGAGACTCTGCCCTTCCATCGCACAGAGCCCCACCCTCAGGCCAGCTGTAGCGGGGGCCCACCCCAGGCCCCTTCTTCTCCCTCCCCTGGCCCCTCCACCATTGAGACTCTGCCCTTCCATCGCACAGAGCCGCATCCTCTCGCCGCGGCTCGTGTCTGCAGCCCCGTGGCCTCCCCGCCTCCAGTCCGTCCCCTTCGCTGTTCTGTGCCGAACCCAGTTGTCATTTCCCTGCTTGGGGTCCTCAATTCCCCACCCCCGCAGCTGCTACTCAAAAGTAGTTTAAAAGTCCTGGCTCCGGCCCTGCCCGCTGCACCCGCCTCACGTGGGCCCTCTGGCGGCTGATAGGATTCCCATCCCCAAACCCTCCAAGGCTCCAGGCACCTTACCTTCTAAAACCGAGAAACCGAAACTCGGTGCCGTGGAGAACTGCTCCTGAGGGCCCTTCTCCCACAGAGCAGCTGGTGGTTTCAAACTGCTCATCTTCTGGCTCACAGCTCAACACATAAGCACTCCACCACCAGGGCTGCTGGCAGGGTGTTTGTGTTTCTTTCTCCTCCCCAGGTCAGTGGCTTCCCCACTTCATCATCTGACCCCCTCATGGTCCTGTGAGTATCCCCTCCCCTCACGGACGCTCTGTACCTGGGCTTGGGGAGTTGCATAATTGGAGAATTGCACCGTACCTTGTTGGTGATCTCAATGACAGTGAGCTTAGAGGCAGAACTGGTCTCTCTTCCTTGTCCCTGGTGCTCAGTGCTAAAGGACTGTGTCCACACAAACACACTCTGATGGGTTTCTCTGCACCAGCAGTGAAAACTCCGGGGGAAAATGAATGAAGGGAAACAATTCCATTTGGACTAGAACCTGAGAATAAAATGCCTAGGAGTAAATCTAACCGGGAACATGCAGGCCATATACAATAAAGTGACAAAGCACCGCTGGACGGGCTCGCGGAAGACTAAACTAGAAGATGGGGAGGATGCTACAGGTCGGGACGACTCGATGGTGCCCAACAGCAAAACACAAAATCAGTGAGACTGGTCTGTGCTCATGGATGGGAAGACGTGATATGGTTGTTGATGTCGTTGTTGCCAAGTTCCCTCCCAATTATAGCGACTTTATGTTCCACAGAGCGAAGTGCCTGCCCTGTGCCAACCTCGCAATTGTTATGTCTCAGCTGTTTTTGTCACCACTGTGTTGACCCAACCTGGTAAGTGTCTTCCTCTTTCTCACTGCCCTTCTGTTCAGCAACTGTGATGTCCTTTTCCGAGGTCTGGTCTCTACAGGGTCACTCCGAAAAGGAACGTCTGGCTGTACTTCTCCCAAGACACAGTTGATCGATCCTCTGGCACTTCCAGTGTT